AACCTGCTTTGGTAGGGGGGTTGGACCCAATAATCTCTTGAGGTCCTTTCCAACCCAATCATAGAATTCTGTGATTCTGTGAAAATCTTTATTCTTAAATACTCTTTTTACAAGCAACAGCAGGATGGGAACTAGAAAATCTTTAATGTAAACACACTAATCAACTACTTGTCGACCAATTTCTCCAAATTATCTTGCACTTGTCACTTTTCTAAGAGAAGTCATTCAGCCTGCTAGACCTAGTGGCTGGCTATGTAGGGTTTGCAGAGGCCTGAATAATTTAAAGCAAGTGCTTTTGAGAGATCCTTTAATGTGGAGATATCACAGTGCCTTGTGGAGCTTCAGCTAGCAAGTGCTTTGCTTGGCAAAGTTGTGGTCTCTTTTTCACACAGTCTGCAGTGTGCAGCCAGATATGTGACAAACTTGGTGCAATAATAGTCCTGTACATTTTCTCTCCTTATACCATGCCAAAGCAGATGTCCTTCTACATTGCAAGAAAACCTGAAGTTAATGATGAAAGTCCAAGACTGAAAAACAAATTATGAATCAAGTTCAAAATAGATTTTTCTTAGTTATGGACTATCACTGACTACAGTAAAAAATGTGCAACAAATGTACAACTCTTATTTCTGACATCTCCCATATTTAGAATGTTGAAAATGTGAGTTTCTAAGCAGGCAAAAGTTTTCTACATGGTCAGTAAGCATTTCTCAACATTTATGGTCAAGTCCCTGAAAACAGAATGCTATGTTCCATTTGTAACTTTTTGCACTCCAGATTTTTGGTCTACATGTGTTAACTCTTGACGTTTATGTGAAACTCTAGTCCAATATTTTACTAGACTACTGGAATAGGTTTTTTAAATGTTTTTAGAGCTATATGAAATATTTGATCCTTGTTCTTTTACATAAATGAAACCATGTTGTTTATTCAATGACATAACATTTTCATTTCCTGAGTTCTGCTTCATCAACATCATTCAATATCACTTTGAATGTTTCACTTTTTATACAACATTAAACACTATGATAATTGTCTTGCTTCTTTCCTTCTCTTGGCTTGTGGTGGCCATTTAATCAACAAAATAGAAGAAGGGTTGTACCATGAAGTACTTGCCAATAGAGAGGATGTTTCCTCTGAAATATACACTTGCTTTCTCAATCACCTTTCCAAGAAACTTTGCAGAACTGGTATACATGCAAGAGAGGGAAACAGAATGAAGCAAGTGTATTTGCTGCTGGTAACTACTGGGCAATTAGAGGCAGTGGAGACTTGATTTGACAAGGTCTTTCTCCCCATCTTAGTAAATAAGGATTTCTTGATTTAAAAGCTGCAGCTTAACATAGTAGCATAATTTTTATGCATAATTATAGCTGATTGCTCAGAAATAAAATAAAAAAACAGCTAAAATTTTGTGCAGAGTTAGCATAGTGAACATTATAGTAGATTTAAGTAATAAGTAATAGGATGTGTACACTGAATAAAACCTCTATAGTGACAATTGTTAGACTTTCAGAAATAAGATTCCTTCCTTCCTTCCTTCCTTCCTTCCTTCCTTCCTTCCTTCCTTCCTTCCTTCCTTCCTTCCTTCCTTCCTTCCTTCCTTCCTTCCTTCCTTCCTTCCTTCCTTCCTTCCTTCCTTCCTTCCTTCCTTCCTTCCTTCCTTCCTTCCTTCCTTCCTTCCCTCCTTCTTATTTAGAATTATATAAATTGCATTCAATGTATGGGTGGACACCTTGAGCATTCAGTACAGCCCAATTTTTATTTCAAGTAATGAACTAAGAACAGAACTTTTAAAGAAAGAATAGGACAGAGTTGGAATCACATTGATGCCTCTTGAGGATACAATGATGTGACTCTTGTCCTTCTGAGTTAGAGAAAGTTTTTGATATAATGATTGAATAACATCTCCAGTTTACACAGGACTAAGTACTTTTTAGAAAATGAAAGAATGTGACTATGTAAGATCATGATCATTTTTATTTTCTGTGAATGACTTATCTACTTTGTAAAATAAAACAATTATTACAGTGAAGCATACTTGTCAGGTTTAGAAGCTTTTCATTTACAGTAGTGGGAACCAGATAATTTAGAGGAAGACTCAGGAAAACTAATGGGAAATTTGGAGTAACTTTTCACAGAGTTATATTCCTGACTCTTTATTTGATGAGAGCTACCAGCCAGAATAACAATAAATAAACACTTGAAATCTATATAGAATCATAGAATCATAGAATCATAGAATATCCTGAGTTGGAAGGGACCCTTAAGGATCATCAAGTCCAACTCTTGACACCGCACAGGTCTACCCAAGTTCAGACCATGTGACTAAGTGCACAGTCCAATCTCTTCTTAAATTCAGTCAGGCTCGGTGCAGTGACCACTTCCCTGGGGAGCCTGTTCCAGTGTGCAACCACTCTCTCTGTGAAGAACCCTTTCCTGATGTCCAGCCTAAACTTCCCCTGCCTCAGCTTAACTCCATTCCCGCGGGTCCTGTCGCTGGTGTTAATGGAGAAAAGGTCTCCTGCCTCTCGACACCCCCTTACGAGGAAGTTGTAGACTGCGATGAGGTCTCCCCTCAGCCTCCTCTTCTCCAGGCTGAACAGGCCCAGTGCCCTCAGCCGTTCCTCGTACGTCTTCCCCTCCAGGCCTTTCACCATCTTCGTAGCCCTCCTCTGGACACTCTCCAACAGTTTCATGTCCTTTTTATACTGTGGTGCCCAGAACTGCACACAGTACTCGAGGTGAGGCCGCACCAGCGCAGAGTAGAGCGGGACAATCACCTCCCTCGACCTACTAGCGATGCCGTGCTTGATGCACCCCAGGACACGGTTGGCCCTCCTGGCTGCCAGGGCACACTGCCGGCTCATATTCAACTTGTTGTCTACCACGACCCCCAGATCCCTCTCTTCTAGGCTGCTCTCCAGCGTCTCATCGCCCAGTCTGTACGTGCAGCCAGGGTTTCTCCGTCCCAGGTGCAGGACCCGGCACTTGCTCTTATTGAACTTCATGCGGTTGGCGATCGCCCAGCTCTCCAACCTATCCAGATCCCTCTGCAAGGCCTTTCCACCCTCATTCGAGTCCACAACTCCTCCAAGTTTGGTGTCATCAGCAAACTTGCTCAAAATGCCTTCTATTCCTACATCCAGATCGTTTATAAAAATATTGAAAAGTACCGGCCCTAAAATGGAGCCTTGAGGGACCCCACTGGTGACCGCCCGCCAGCCTGACGCAGCCCCATTCACCATAACCCTTTGGGCCCTGCCCGTTAGCCAATTGCTCACCCATCGTATGATGTTTTTATTTAGCTGTATGCTGGACATTTTGTCCAGTAGGATCCTATGGGAAACCGTGTCAAAAGCCTTGCTGAAGTCCAAAAAAATCACATCAGCTGGTTTCCCTTGGTCCACCATACGGGTGATCTTATCATAAAAGGAAATCAGGTTAGTTAGGCAGGACCTACCCTTCACAAACCCATGCTGGCTGGGACCAATGACTGCTTTGTCCCCCAGGTGCGCCTCAATACGTTCGAGAACCATATTATATTTATATTTATATTATCATATAAATGGGAAAAAAAAAAAAAAAAAATAAACAGTCAGAATTGATGGCCCTTTTGATGTTATTTACATCCAAAAGATTAAAATTGTTTTTGCTATACAGTGCATTCTATTACAGCTTAAAAGCATTGAAATAACCTCATTGTGTTGAGATCAAGAAAGAGACATCTCAGAGAACAGAGGAAAATTGAATTAATTGTTGACAAGAATGATCTTTGCAGTTTCAGTTGTAGTTGTGATTTTACTTGACCATGAGTTTACTTTCCTAGGTAAAATTTAGGTCTGTTGATTAGTCTTAAAAAAGACTGTGCAGTCTTTGAGAGATGACAGAGAGAAAATTTTAAACTTTCCAAAAAACAGTCCAAAAATATGTTGCCAGCTAAAACTGGAAAAGTAAGTATCAAGCTGTCACCTCACACTGCCCTAAATAAGATCCTTAGTTCACAAGTAGTCCCATTTATTTCCCTGAGGCTGTTCCTGGACACAGGTGATATTCAGTCTAATTAAAGACATAATTTTTAAAAAATCCAAATAAAGAGAGCTTGAAATTGTATTTGGTGATTACACACATCTTATGCTAAAAAAAAACATGCATCCTGAGGAGTCCCATTGAGTGCATAATACTTTCAACTCTTCATGCTAAGTCAAGTACCATTAATGATATGAAGGAGAATTCCAATGTTTGCTCTGATACTTCCAAAGTTAACATGTTGGTAAAGATTATGTATTTCTGTAACATCATCGTAGGCAACGAGTGAAAATCATAGAATCATGGAATCACAGAATGGTATGGATTGGAAGGGACGTTAAAGAGCATAATTTCCTGGAGTTGGGCTTGATGGTGAGTCCCTTCCAACCCGTATATTCTATGATCAAATTCCAATCCCGCAGGAAATAGGTAGTGACACTCTTCACTAGACCAGGTTGTTCAAAGAAAATAGGACAATGGGGCAGATTTGCATAAATTCTGGGTGTTTATCAACAGGATTTCCAGTGATATTATTAAGCCTCGGCATAATGAGAACAAAAATATCAAAGATACTTTAATATTGTGAAAGACATGACAATCCATGACAATACATTTGACAGACAAATTTAGCTATAAGTAAAGCTCTTTTCCTTTCATAACACAGTTGTGTTATGGATTAGGAAGACATTTTGGACTCCCCAAATCTAAGTCTTCAAAATAAAAATAGAATATATTGTAAGTATTTTTCATTACATGATTTTATTAGCTTCCATATAGAGTTAATTAATTAATTAATTAATTAATTTTATATTGAACTACATTTGAATTATATATATCCTGAATTATGCAGGTCAGACTACATGAGTTAATGACTCTTTAGTTAATGACATTCTCATCAGAGAGCTGTAACAGGGTTTGATATAGCATATGCTTACTTTCTTCTAAGATATATCACTACTTACCAAGCTGGAGGCAGACATGTATGCATAGATTTCAGTTTCAGGCCTTCTGTTCTCCAGGCATTTTCCAGAATGTTAAATCCCTATGATAATGCCCATGAGATATAAATAAATATTTAAGCCTACTTCTATCTTATTGTTTTTTCCTTAATTACCACAGAGGAATTCAGCTAGGGTTCTGGTATGGCTAACAGTGACCATTATTCCAGTGAGATTCCTGATGTTTGCGATGAGAGTTGGTTTTGAATAATCTGACATATTCTTTCATTGCTATAGCTACTTTCTTGGGTGCACTTGGCAAGGGTTATGCATCATAACTATGAGATCCCTTAGAAACAGTTGTAGAGGCAGTGAGGACAAGCTGGTACTTCCTCATGTGTGGCTGGAAAAAGCTGTTTGGCACCTAATGGATAGCATACAGAGTGCAGCTATAATGGTTCTTTTAATAAGACTGTTTTATGTAAAATCTGAATTATATAACAGCCAATCATCCTTCTGAAGAGCTTAACTTCCAAATGGATTGTGAACTACAAAGCCATTCTTTGTGTTTAAGGTTGCTACCAGCAACATATAAGAATAGACTGTAAGTCAGATGGAAAACAGAAAAAAAAAAAAAAATATATATATATATATATATATATATTACACACTTAAGGGACATCTTTACTCAAGAAAAAACTTTTTTATTTTTATTTTTTTTTAAGAATATAGATCTTAACTAGATTTACTGACATTAATCCAAATGACTTTAAAATTATGGATCTCATTACAATTGTAAAATCAGAACACAAGACTCTCTATCAGGACCTGAAAACATAAAAACATACAGCTATGTGTATCCGAACAGACAGCATTCAAATCGTGCATTGATTTATTTTTAGGACTATGCATACTGAATATTAGTCACAAAGTTACCAGTGTTGTGGCAGTTGAAAGCCAGAAGATTTTTTCCCCTTGTAAATACATTGGTTTTTATTATTTTTAATATATTATTATTATTATTATTATTATTATTATTATTATTATTATTATTATTATTATTATTATATAATTTTATTTCCTTTCTCAAGCAGCTGTAATACTCTTCAGGAATTTCTCTAAAAGCTCCTTAAAATCTAGAAATAAAAACCTTATGTGAAAATTGCAATTTGCTATAAGTCCCATCAAACTAGTGTATAACCATTCTCTGTGGAAGGTTTCCCAGTGTCCCTGTTCAGCATCAGTTAGATTACTTTCAACATGAAAAATGTTTCAGTAGAAAAGCATTACATCAACATTCTGAACACTTTATGCTGTATGCTGAATGTGGCATGTAGCCTTTTTCCTCTTTTGTTTTGTCTCATTTAATATCTCTGTTAAAAGAATGAAGTGAAATATTTATACGCTAATGTTAGATCACAAATGAGGACTAAACAACTTACTAATGAGTGTGTGTATCAGTATGATAACCATAGTCAAGGCTACTTGTACTAGTAGATGAGAGAAAATATTTTGCTGAATATTTAAGAAAGTAAATTTTTGATTTTGAGTTTACATATACTGCCCTTGCAATAACTGAGATTTGTAAAAGAATTGAAAGAAGGAAAATGTCATGAAATCTGAGTTTACCTCTATTTGTTTCATAGCTTGATCTTGCATGAAGAAAAATAAGGCAGGAAGTCTGGAATGGATCTAGCAGGAGTAGAGGAACAGTAACATTTGCAAACAGAAACTGCAGCTGAGTATTGTCTAACTTATTTCTTTACTTGTTCACATACAGACATCCAATCTGAAATCCCAGTTCCCTGATGAACAATAACAAAGTTCAACAAGGATAGCTTAAAAATCACAGACAATCTGCACTCATAGTGAGTCATTTTTTTTCTTTTTCTGTTAAGTTCTAAAATATTTTTAGTGATCAGTATTATTAAATATTAGTTCAATAAAGTTCTGTTATCTAACAGTTTCAAAATATCATACCATGGTTCTGCAGCACAAACTTAATTTTTATGAAGAGACTTGTTTGGAGTATTTGAAAATGTACTTTGTAGAACACATTCCTAAAAAGGCTCAGATTAATTTTCAAAGCAGGCAAAAACACAACATTCTAAAATCTATTTGACTTATTTAAGAAAAATTAAAAAAAAAAAAAATACTGTTGCAGAAATGCAAATAAGTAATATATAAGCTTTACCCACCTGAAAATTACAGTTGAAAGTTGCTGTCCTTCAAACCATCTTATGTTTTCACATTTTTGAGAAAAACAAAATATATATAAAAGTCAAAAGTGGCACCAGATGCTGCAATTGACAGTTGTTCCCTGTCCTGAGTTAACCCATTGAATCCAGTGGCAGTAATTGCAAAAGTGGGGAAAGAAACTTGCAACCGAGCTGGAGTATGACTAAGGTATATGGTACAACAAATCCTCTACTCTCTAAAACATTTATTCTAGGCTTCAAGCACCAAAACTGTTCCTTTGGGGTGGCAAGTGTTAAAACAAAAGCTGTATTAATGTCTAAAAACGTACCAGTGCTGAGATTCTTTTTCTTTTGCTAGAAAACTGATCACAGAATCAGGCCTGTATGTTTTTCCATATCCCTAAGATGTAATGTGGTTGTAACACTGGTAAAAATCTAAGCATTTGTTGCCCTGAAAATCTCATTTTGTTGGAAATCCAATAAAGTTCAAAGAAATTTTCTTTTTCAGTCAAACAAGACTGGCTATATTGGGCTATGTGTTTATTTCCACCTCCTTTCACTCATGCCAATTAGCACCTACTAGTGAACACAAAGACAGATGGTGATTGCCAGTGAGGGCTTTCTGTCAGAAATTTCCCTTTCTTAAGTAGGGGGAGTTGTAAGAGTAGGGGAAAAGGGAAGGGAAGTTGTGTAAAACATGCCTTATATTTTTACATGGAGAGAACAGATAAGAAATTTTATAATGTTATAGAAATAAGAAATCTATTTAAACAGTATAAGAGTTAATTCTTATTTTCAAAATTTTGCATTAAGCAAGCCTAAATATATATAGGTCAGGTACCTTGGGGGAAAAAAATAAAAAAGTTCTACAGCATTGTTTCTGACTGCTTTCTGAGTACAAGCAGTTCACAAAAAAATCCTGATTTCTAGATTTTGGAATGAAATTATTAATTTAAGTGACACTGGCTCATAATTCTTGTATCTCAACTAAACTTTACTTAACCAACTGCTCCTACATCTGTATTTCCTACACTGGTATGAAGATTCCTTATTATCTTCCTATCTTGTTTCATCTTGATGTATGCTCACAAGTCTGTCATATTCTTTTTCCATCTCTATCTGAATTTCAGTAATGAATACAGTCTTCTAAAATATAGGCTGTAAAATTTGAGTGCTCCTGGGTGTTTGGTTAAGAGCTGGTATATGAAAGATTGTCATTTAAATAAAACATCTCACTGTGCTCTCCAGCTCAGCACTTTTTCTTCCACATATCATGTTTTGCTACTTTTGTCTTATCTTCAAGCACAAATAGTTTGTCAGAAAATATCTATATGGATTAAAAATTAAACTCTTGCTAGAATTATTTGACAGAATACCTCAAGTAAGTTGGTAGAGGTTAATGGGGCACAGAATAATGATGTATAGATGTAGGGAATGAATCTGCAGCATGTGTACAGATTAGAAATGCCTCATCATAAGGGAGTCAGTGTTGCAAAGAAGCGGAGCTCATCAAGATGGAGGAGAAGGAATGTTCATTACTATTTGTATTTGATAAGTCATCTATGAGCAATGTAAATATTTGGAGGAACCTAAATTATGTACTGATTGCTAAGAGGGTATAGCCTTGTACTTTGCAGTTGAGTAGATTTTTTTCATTGTGTCACCAAATAACTCTTCAGAGTTAAAATAGTAGAATATAATTTTTAGTGTATAATGTCTCTATAAATAAGACACTGTTTAAGCATGAGATCTAAAATGCTTAAAAGGTGCCTCAAAAACATGTAGTATGGACCCTGAAGGAGAATTCCAAAGGTCTGAAATCCCCACTAAAATTACAGCATAAACTCCAAAAATGAAAATGTGCTAACATAGGTTTTTCACTTTCACAAGTCCATGGGCGGGTGGATGCTAATATGAGGACTGTGGTAATGTTGTTAAGTTGTTAGTAACTATTTTGATCCTGCAACTCCTTAATTATGTTTGTTTGTTTATATGGGGAGGTGAAGTACACATTCAGTTCAGGAAATATTTTTTTCATCTGAGTAGAGAAATTCAAGTTCTTGTTAGGTGAGAAATTATGCATAAGCATCCACTGCAAAATAGACTAGATTGAGCTCTGTGCTGGAGTTGTTTTTAAGCACTGCCAAGTACTCATGGAAACACATGGCATACCTGGGTATTTAACATTCCATTCCTATTTGCAGTGTGAAAGATATAAAAATCCTTTTTATTTATTTATTTATTTTATTTTATTTTATTTTATTTTATTTTATTTATTTTATTTTATTTTATTTTATTTTATTTATTTATTTTATTTTATTTTATTTTATTTTATTTTATTTTATTTTATTTTATTTTATTTTATTTTATTCCTTCCCTTGTCTTTATTTTATGCATTTTTTTACCACTTCCATTATTTTAAAGACATCCTATAGAGGTTCTGGTCCTTCAGTGAAATATTCCAGCCTTGGAAATTTGACCTTTTATGTGGACTTTGCAGAAAAGAAGTAGATTCATAGCTTTTAAGGCCAGAAGGGACCATTCGATCATCAAACCTGACCTCCTGTATAACACAGGCAAAAGAATTTCCCCTCTATTGAGTCCAATAATTTGTCTGTAAACCATCTAGTAACAGGATGTTATATTTTAAGAGTAGGTTTAAACTGTACAGGTCTGATTTTAATCTTTCACTGGTGGTTTCAGTTTATCATTCAAATAATATTTATAACAGAGAATATCTGTATGAATATTGCTAGTACTTTGTATAGAACTTTCTAAGTCTTAGTTTAGTTTATTAATCCATTGGTGAAGCATATGTTACTTTATGTTTTAGTGGTTACAAATCTGTGTCTTAAATTCTTCCAAATCACTGCCTGTGCTGTCATTAAGCTAAATAATTTCATCTCACTCACAGTCATACACTTGCACCCACATAATTTCCCAAGTTTAAATTCAAGGCTGACTTGTTAGTTGTGAACTCTGCAAATTTTCTGCCAGATTCAGCTTTCAGAGTCCTAAACAGTAAGGAAAAGTGAAAGGGCAACATAAAATTGCCATTTCATATCTATTTACATCACAAGTAACAGCTTTTATCTCAACTTTATTCAGCTCTAACTTTTCAGCTGCTTACAACTGGTTTTGAGAAGTTATGCTATACAACAATGTGGAAACAAGCTCATCATAAAAGATCAGGAATGAAAAACATGTAAAAAGTATACAGTTTTTTTAAAAGTGTGAGTGCACACCAAGTGCTCGACTAAATCAGAGTGCAAAATGGCTTCTCTGAGAAGGGCAGGAATAACAGCTCTCACTGGGGCTTCAGGCTAAGCCAACTCAAACCTCTTAACCAGTAAAAAATTGTGCAGGAAGTGTGCAATTCCCCATCTACAGCTACTATCCAGTGGAAGAAGACAGTTTCATTTTCATTGTAATGGTTAATATTTAGAGTCACCTACTGGTAAATGACAGCAGTAGAGCACAGAATGGGGACACATATATAGAAGCACTAATTTTTAACACCTATCACTGTTAGAAGAGTTCAGTAGCAACAATCATGTTGCAAAAAATCCAAGAGATATAACAGATGTTATAGGAAGGACACAAATCAGACTTCTCAAAGCTGACATATAGTTAACCACTGTTGCTAATGCTACAATTGTCTGAATGTGATATGAACCAGGGAAAGCCACCTCTGGACATGCTTGCAGCCTTAAGTCAGGAAGTCACAATTTACTATTTTATTAGTGATAGCAAAGAAATTTATCATTTGTCAAGAAGTAACAGATGCTTGTGCAATCTGAAGTCTGGAGAAAGACTAGACATTGCCTAGAAGTTAATCAGCACATTGTGAATATTCAAAATATTGGAGTCAAAGTCTCCAAAGAAAGGGAAACATGAATATGTTATGGAGGGCAATATTAACAGGTAATTTCATGAGGGACTGAAGGGGCCTCCACATTTTTATTAGGAATCATCATTATGCTTTACCAAGTTAACTTGATGCTTCCTATCAGTGTTGCTGGCATGTAACACCACAAGCTTGTTTATGTCTTGAGCAGATGGGCAGAGAAAGGACCGTGCTATTAAAGGATCTGTTAATATGGTATTTTATAATTATGCAGATAGAGGCCTGCTGATATACAAGACCAAAGGAGCGTAGTTAAATTCTCCCAAGCTCGGGCTAATATGTTCTGCATTTTGGCCTGCTGGAGTTCATAGGGTCGCAGATTAGCTTGGAGGGAAGGAGAGCCCCATATGCAGAGTTCACTTACCTCTGCCATCTAGAGGTAAATGCCATCTGGACATATTTGGCAAATTAAAAATAAATAAATAAATAAATCTAAACATGCTCACTACAGCCTTTGAAAGCTCCAGGGAAATATGTTAGAAGCAAAACTGAAACCAGTCAGGAAAAGACAATATATTTGAAACTTTCATGACCAAAAGATCAGAACAGTTCCACGGCATCCACAAACAACAGAGGTCTCAGAGACTGGGAGAAGAAACTGTTAATGAGTCAAAAGGAGCTGAAGCTGAAAAAAAAAATAATCTCACCAAAATTCAGTGAATAAATCACAACTGGAAGAGACTCTGTAACTTCCAGATTACAAATAAGGGAACAGTTATGAAGCTAAGCAAGACAATACTTGAAGTTACAAAATATAGACATAATATAAAACAAACCATTCTGTATTTCTTTTTTAGCTCACAAGATCTCTTTTCAGATCATAATATGAAATCAGAAGAAGACTTGAGTGGGGAGAAGAGTCAGAATAGACAGTGAGAAATACATATTTCAGTGATTTTTTAACTTCATTAATTTTTCTGATGCCCGAGGTTTACCAGATATCCAAAATAAAAGTCAATACTGCTTGAAGTTCATTTCTGAACTGCACAACGAAACTCTGTAGATGCAGATAAGGAAGAATACAGTAGAAGGTTTCTGAAATAGAGGGGAGACTCATATATTATTTATATTTTAAATTAAGAGAAAAGATAGAAAGATACTGAAAATTTGAAAGAAAGGATTAAAGACAACTTAGAACAAAAGAATTTTGGTAGTTTGTGTAGGGATGGTTCAAAGTATTTCTTCTAAAAATAAATACAGAAACAAAACACAAATTTAAGTAATAATTATGCTATTAATGTTTAGTGAATAGCAAGTGTTAA